TATATATATATATACATATATGTTATATATATATATACATGTATACACACACACACTGCTGTGTGTGTGTGTGAGGGTGCTGTTAGTGTGCTGTGTGTGAGGGTGCTGTTTGTGAGGGAACTGGTAGTGTGCTGTGTCTGTGTGTGTGTGTGTGAGAGGGTGTTTGTGTGTGCGTGTTTGTTCGGGTCCTGTTAGTGTGCTGTTTGTGTGCGGGTGTTGTGTGTTTGTCAGGGTGCTGTTTGTATGAGAGTGTGCTGTTTGTGTGTGGGTGCTGTGCGGGTGTTGTGTGTGTGGGTTTTGTGTGTTTGTGAGGATGCTGTTAGTGTGCTGGGTGTGTGTGGGTGTTGTATGTGTGTGGGTGCTGTGTGTGCGAGGGTGATGTATGTGTGTAAGTGCTGTGTGTGTGGGTGCTGTTTGTGGGCTGTGTGTGCTGTATGTGTGTAGGTGCGGTGTGTGTGTGTGTGCTGTATGTTTGGGTGGAGGTGGGGGCAGATTAGTTAATATCCCAGTCCTGCTGCCTTCCCTGGTGGTTCAGTGGAGAGTGAACTCTAACCTGGGTTCTTTGCTGCCTCCCTCCATGCTGCTGTGGACCGGTGAGGTAGAACTTTGATCTCCCCACCGGCCCATGGAGGCTTAGACCAGAGCCGCCGCTTGGATAGCGTCAGCTCTGCATGAGCCGACTGGGGAGATCCAGAGATCTCCCCTGCCGGTCTCAAGCCATTGGCGTGCCGCGGGGATTAGGGTGTGCCCAGGCACACCCGACACACCCCGTGCGCACACCTATAGAAGTGAGGAATGGGGGAGACAGCCTACATGAAGAGTCAGCAAGGAGCAGGAAGGTAAGGTAAGAATAGGAGAAGGAACAGAAATGAGCAGGAAGGGACATCAAGGAGCAGAAAGGGGCAGAAATGAACAGGAAGGGTCAGCAAGGAGCTGGAAGGTAAAGCAGCACAAAGCTAAACTAGAAGGAGCAGAAAGGGTCAGAAATGAGCTGGAAGGGGCAGAAGGAGCACAAAGGTAAAGTAGGAGAATGAGCAGGAAGGGGCAGCAAGGAGCAGAAAGGGTCTGCAAGGAGCAGAAAGGGATCAGAATGAGAAAGGAGCAGAAGGGCGCAAAATAAGCAGAAAGTAGTAGAAAGGTAAAAGAGCAGAAGGGGCCAAGGATAGAAAACAGTGTCAGAAGAAAACAAAAGACTGTCAAATGAAGGAGAGGAAAAGGAGATTGGAGCAGGAAGGACAAATGAAGTGAACCCTCCACTTTATTCTGGACACCACATCATAAGGCTTTGGTACCTGGGCCAGGCAGGGAAACGCTCGACCTTCTCATCTCCAAAGGTAAAAAATATCAGTATTAATGTGTTCACTTTTATTTACTGAGTGTCAGGAAGCACAGAGTGCCGTTGGGTAGGGGTGTTGCTGATTGGCTAGAGCGGTCAGCTGGCACTCTAAGCCAATCAGTAGCTCCCATTCATAAAAAAGTAAAAATATTTTATGAACCGGGAAGTAGCGATTGGCTTAGAGCGTCAACTGTCCACTCTAGCCAATCAGCGGCACCCATGCCTGATGTCAATCTGCACTTCCTGACACTCTGTTTCAGAAGCCAAATACCACTGAGTGACCTGAAGCTGGAGGAAGCCTTTGGGGTTAAACCATTTGAGAGCGATTTAACCCCTTAAAGGAAAGCGAGCACCCAGGGGCTTCCTGGCATCATAGCATTTTCATTTTGGTGAAGTTGTTATGGTGACCGGAATGGTCCTTTAATTTGCTTAAAGGAACACTATAGTGTCAGGAATACAAACATATATTCCTGACACCATAGTTGTGAAAACGCTATTCACCCTGGCTTTATGTGATAATGGCTATGCCCCTTCCCTTTCATGACACTGTCAAAAAGGTACCAAGCATGGATGTCATTACAATTATGCCCCCCCCCTGGAAAAATTTCTGCGGACGCCCATGTCTGTAATTGATCATCCTTGTGCATGGTTTCTATTGCCAATACAAGGCACTATCTGAGCAGGATACTTTAGATATTTTTGGGTTGTCAGTTTGATAATTACCTACTTCGAGTGAAAGTTGGAAGCTAATTTGTCAAAAAAGGATCCAGGACAGAGAAGGGCTAATACTCCTAATATTAGAAATATTAACAGGATCAAAAAGCACACTGTCCTTAATGAGAAAGAGATATAATCCTAAAACATAACTTGTATTGATGACCAACAAATAAAAATAAAAAAACTAAACTAAATAAACCTAAATATGTTAAAAAACGATAAGTGTGGTAATGTAAATAAAATATACTAGATCAGTAAATGCAAGAAGATATGCATAGCTATATAAGGTGCACAAGCAATGAATGCAGCCATATGTCGAAGGGACACTATAGTCACCAGAACAAGTATAGCTTAATGTAGTTGTTCTGGTGAGTATAATCATTACCTGCAGAGAAAAGGCAGTGTTTACATTGGCCCAAGGGACACCTCCAAGTGGCCACTCCTCAGGTGGCCACTGGAGGTGCTTCCTGGGGCAGTGCTACCACACTGCATTGGGGCGTTGAATTTTCCTCATAGAGATGCATTGATTCAATGCATCTCTATGAGGAGGTGCTGATTGGACGATACGGTGTTTGGCCCTGCCCCTTGGCGATTTTAGCCAATCCAATACTTTCCCCACAGGAAAGCAATGGATGGGCTAAAAATCGGCAATTCTGCTGATGTCACCAAGGGGGCTTGCCAGTGCCGGAGGACCCGTGCGGCGCTGGAAATAAGGTGAGGTTTGATTGCTTTAAAGGGGGCTAAGTGGTGAGCAAGCCACCTAAATGGTGGGTTTAGCACTATAGGGTCAGGAATACATGTTTTTTGTTCCTTACCCTATAGTGTTTCTTTAACTAATGCTAATAATAGTTCAGAACTGTAGTAAGTGACTCTGTTGCTGATGCACTGCTGCAACACTGTTTCTAAATTAATAACCCACAACTAAGGGAAGAAACTCTGTCAAAGGGAGGAAAAATGTTTGCATTAGTCACCAGATACAACAGCAGAGAAAAATATCTAAGCAAGGAATATCGCCTAAGCAGTTGACTGTGGGAAATGACAAGGACAATCAATTATTGTATATCGATAATTTGGTTATAGCGATATCCAAAGATCTGGTCAGTACAACAGTTCAAGTCTTAGCTGTGTTCCCTTAGTAAAAAAAATACTGAGCTAAAGAGATAATAAAAACTAATGTAGCAAGAGTAGACTAGTCTGAAAATACCAAAAGTAAATCTGTGCCTTCGAGGGCACCTCTCATTAGTAGAGATGAGACTAGTTGTATGCAAAAAAGGAAAAAGAGGTTAGGGATAAAAAGACATAGAAAATCCCTATAGAAAAAGAAGGAACCCAAAAATAAAACTTAAAGGACCACTATAGTGCCAGGAAAACATACTTGTTTTCCTGGCACTATAATGCCCTGAGGGTGCCCCCACCCTCAGGGACCCCCTCGCGCCCGGCTCTTGAAAGGGGAAAAGGGTTAAAACGTACCTTTTTCCAGCGCTGGGTGGGGAGCTCTCCTCTTCCGATCCTCCTCCTCTCCGCCCATTCGGCTGAATGCATGCTACGGGTAAGATATGGCTGCCATTATTCAGCTTCGGTCGCATAGAAAGCATTTATAATGCTTTCCTATGGACGCTATGCTCGTGATTTTCACAGTGAGAATCACGTAGTTTCTTAGCGCTATCATCGAGGGGAAGGATTAATCCCATTTATAAAACATAGCAGCTCTCTGAAACTGCTATGTTTATAAAAATGGGTTAACCCTTGTTGATACCTATCTGTGACCACTTCATTAAGCTGAAGTGGTCTGGGTGCCTAGAGTGGTCCTTTAACTTTTATTAAAGTCCTTAAAAGATTTATAAATCAAGTGATGATTATTATAGGTCCATTGTATTGAAAAAAAATGTATAAATAAAATTGCAAGTATAGGTTATGATAATCATAGAGGGAATGAAAACATTGTCTTGATACAAATCTGTCCAATCACACTGGTACAAAAGTATCAAGCGCTATTAGCCAATACCAAGTAAACAATAGTCCCACAGTTACCTGAAAGATTGTGTTAACTATTTCAAGAAACACACTGTTGGGCATTGGTGTATTTTGGATCTGTGCTGCCCTAGGTATGACAGAACTCAGGCATCCCCTAATTTAAATTTGCCCCGACCCATCATGTCAAGGCCACACCTCTTCCTGTTAAAGACATACTTTGACTGACAGACTCACAAACACTCTCTGATTTGACACAATCTGACAGACACACACAATCACTGACAGACACATACTCACAGGCACACACACTGACAGACATACATGATCACTCAGACACACACACACACAATCACTCAGACACGCAGACTCCTTCACAGACACACACTGACAGGCATACACACACACTCACTCACATACACACAGGCTCCCTCACAGACACACACACACAATCACTCAGACATATACAAATTCACTGACAGACACACAATGACAGACACACACAGGCTACCTCAAAATCACACACTGACAGACATTCACACTCACTCAGGCACACACACTCACTCACAGACACACTGACAGACACACACACATTCACTGACAGATATACATACACATATCAACTCAACACTCACAGATTGTTCTTTTTTTATTTTAATCCACCCAGCCTCCCTAACTTTTGGAAAGCTGGGTGGATTTTTTACCTGGGGTCCAGTGGGGCTGCTGGCCGGGCTGTTTGGTCTCCAGGCCTGTTGGTCTCCAGGCAGGCGGCAAGGGATTTGTGAGCTCTCACAAATCAGCGCTCCCTCGCCGCCCACCTGGAGATTAACTAGCCGCCTGCCCAGGGGGCCCAATGGTGGCCAGCCGGCCAGTTTTTGGGCCCTCTTAGTGAGGGCTAACAAGGCATTAGCCAGGCATTTGGGGGGCGGCGTTTTTTGAGTACCTAATCACCTCTATAGCACTTATACACTTTTGATTCTTTGTGTTATGTGTTAATGTGCATTGAGTGTAAAATGTAAAGTAAATAAAATTTGCATGTCTTTAACTCAAGCCTTTAGTGTTTTCAAAACGGCCCAAACGCTGTACAGCCAGCAAGAGTGAACCAATCCTTGCAGGCTATCGATCCGGGAGATTATTAGATAATATGGGAGTATGCAGGAAAAGCACTTGTTAAATCCTACGTGAAATGTGCCCCACAAAGAGTTGCTAATCAAAACTTGATTCAAGTTTTCCAGCGCAAAGTGCCTTGTCCGACCGTTATGACAGATTTTCATTAGGGGAATACTGTTTTTGTACAAGCCTGCTTAATATATATAATTATCAGTACTTAATTGCGAATGTTGAATAATAATGATAATTTTATTAATTGCCCATGATGTGATTTTATCTATCAAATATACAGAAATAGAAAATGTACGAATGCATTCATAAGAAAAAAAAATTGTTTTGTCAAAAACGAAATTCATCCATTCTTTCATTCATTTTGTATGAAATTCGTTAGTTTTTTTTTGTTTCGGATGACCCATTTATTAATTCGGCCCGACTTAATTGCAAAGAATTTAACATAAAATTAGTTACCTAAATACTGAATGGCCTGAAGTGAACGAAGTAAAACTGTTTACTTCAAATTTCGTACATTGTTCACCACATGGCATTGAACAATTTTCTATTTCTCTGATTTTGCGCCCAAAACTCCCAAATGAAAACTACTGAACCACCGAATGCCCAAACACTTTAAGTCACATGAAAAACTATTGGCGCTATTAGTAAACCCCCGAACGCTCACTATAGGCATTCGTATTGTTATGGACAGAAGAATTAAAATAAAATGGCTATTTACTAATGTCTATTTATTCTGTGTTCACTATGTTAAAACTGGCTGCTAGAGTAAATATTCCCTTCCCCCCCTACAATGTGTTCAGTCACTATTTTCTCTACAAATTCCTCCCATCCTGCTAGCCTCCCCCCTTCCCATTGAGCAAGCCTCATGTAACAAATTCCTGTGTTAAAAGAACATCTTCCTTTATTAAACTCCTCCCCCACTTCCTTTGTGCAAAGTAACAGCTATATGCCACATGTAACAAAATAGAGAATCACTGTTAAAGTAACTACTACTCACTTCCCCCCCTCCCATCGTGTAACCAAGATGGAGCCGAAATATGGTTGGGAAAAGTCTGTAATGACAACACTACATCCTGTAGGCGGGGTTTAGACAAGACCCCTTAGACTGTTAACCAATTGATGAATGTATACTGTATGTTAACTGTGACTCTGTACATGACGTATTTCTGCTTTAAAAGGGAATTGCACCCCCTGGAATAAAGGCTACTCTGGAGTTCTTCATAAACCTGCAATGTGTCCGGTGTGATTTACTTCCAGAAGACATGCGCACAATCAATTTAGAAAGGAGTAGATAGACAAATAATCAAAGTTTTCTTTGGTATCTAAATCAGTATGTTGAATTGCTTTGCAAATGCTTAGTCTCTTAGGTTGATGAATCATCATGCTACACTGACAGGTGGTAACTGGTAACATAATATAATTTTAGAAGGGAGTGGGACTGGAAAAAAGTAGCCAATTAAATGCATACTGCCAGACAAAACTGTATAATAAAAAAAAGCATAAACTAAACTCAAGGTAGAGCCAGCAATCCCTCAGTGCAAAATATATCCAGACATTCTATAGGCCAGCCATTCAGAGGTCAGCCAGGCCACCACCCTGTCGGCCATCTTAAAAGACACTGACACTTACAGCCTGCACCTGCTAGAGTTAGGAGTGGCCCTGTCTTCCTCCAGCTTCTCAACTGAACTAACTATGGATCTAGTGGATGGGGGCACTGGCCACTGTGACCAGGAGAATTCAGAAGCAAATGGGAGAAGCAAGGGAAAGCAAAGGCAGCTCAGGATCTTAAAGGCTGCAGGTGTGTCTGAGTGATAGTGTGTATCTGTGAGTAAGTGTGTGTGTATGCCTGTCAGTGTGTGTCTGTGAAGGAGCTTTAACAGCACAACCGGGCTCCCTGTGATTACATCACTGCTGGGAGGAAGTGACTGCACGTCACTCCTCCCAGCAATCAGACAGAGCCCACGCGGGAGGAAGCAGGCAGGAGGAGGGAGTCAGAGTGGGAACTCTGACTCCCATCAGGCTGAGCCCCCACTGGACCCCAGGGAAAGTCACCAAAGGTAAGAAACATTTTGTGTGTGTGTGTGTCTATATATGTGTGTATGTGTGTTTGTCTCTGTATGTATGTGTGTGTGTCTCTGTATGTGTGTGTGTCTCTCTGTATGTGTGTGTCTCTCTGTATGTGTGTGTGTGTCTGTATGTATCTGTTTCTCTCTGTATATGTGTGTCTGTATGTATCTGTGTGTCTCTGTATGTGTGTGTGTCTCTGTATGTGCGTGTGTCTGTATGTATCTGTGTGTTTCTGTATGTGTGTGTGTGTCTGTATGTGTGTGTGTGTCTGTATGTGTGTGTGTGTCTGTATGTATCTGTGTGTCTGTATGTGTGTGTCTGTGTCTCTGTATGTGTGTGTCTCTGTATGTATGTGTGCGTCTCTGTATGTGTGTGTCTGTGTCTCTGTATGTGTGCGTGTCTCTGTATGTGTGTGTCTGTGTCTCTGTATGTGTGCGTGTCTCTGTATGTGTGTGTCTGTGTCTCTGTATGAGTGTGTGTGCCTCTCTATTTATGTGTGTATGTATGTGTCTGTGTGTGTCTGTCTCTGTATGTGTCTGTGTGTCTGCTGAAAGGATAAATGCTGTTCTGGACTCAACTCCCCTCGATTCTCGCTCCTTCGATCACCACATCAATTTATGGGAGATCTTGTTTAGCAAATAAGACACACAGACACGAAAGAGTGCATAACAAGTTCTCAATGAGTATATTTTCAGGGCTAGCATTTATACACAATTTCTCATGCAAGCAGTGAAGTCTATAGTGTCCTTGTGGTTAATAGTACATACTTGTCGGACATGAAAAAGATAAGCATTTGGATGAAGACGAGACAGGAACATCTTAAGGTCAAGGAAGGTCATACATCCTGTAGAGGAAAGGCCTTGGTACAAAATACATCTGCCAAAGTCAGCATAATTATTTCAAACATTATTTTAAAGCATATAAAGCAAAAAGAGTTAACCATTTTACTTCCTTACATCCCCCTCTTTGAGCAATTAATTTGCTCATATCATTGATAAGATCTTCCCAGGTCAGAGAAACTTCCACATGGTATTTTCAGGGGTGCTAGTCACTCCTTGCGGGACTTTCATTAATTTCTTCACCTCGATTCCCATGTGGTAATTCCTAAGGCCCAGTTTTAAAGATGGGTTGATAGCCTCCAGTGGCAGAGAGGAGAATTTCCAATTGTTTCTGTTCTGCATTATGGATTAATTTCTGTATTCTCTTCCTCAATGTACAAGTAAGATGGCAGTTATATAAAATCATACCCAATACAATCAGGACTATAATAACAAGAGGATAGAAGAATGATTTCATTATCTGGGATCCAGTAGGGGACCAACCTGTAAAAGCATCGTATCAATGATGGGCTAAATCATTCTGAATTTGTGAACTCACCTTAAGGAGTTCTCCTTTTAGGATATGTGTGGCTACCTGTGTGTGTACTATAGCATCATTATGTGTAACAAGATGTTTAAACATATTTTGTTTTCCTTTCATTAAGGAGACAATAGTCTCAAGAGGTAGATGGTAATCTTTAAAAGGCAGAGAGCATAATAGGGCATTAATATGTTTGTCTAAAGTGATTGTGTCGCTGAAATAATATTGGGTGTCATTAAGATCTAACCAGGTAACATTAGTCAAACATCCTGAAAAGGGGAGAGGTAGATTAATACTTGTATTACTAGTAATTATCTTTGTAGGGAGGTTAGTTGCCAAACAGATATGTCGTGTGCTTATTTCAGTCATGGTAAAATAATTTTCAGGATATATGTGCCATATGCACTTGTTAAGTTCATTTTGGAGTAAGCATGGTTCATAAATAGGGGACGAGTGTCAACATGCATATCCTTTGTCAGTGAGAACACAGTGTTTAAGGGAATAGGTCATATTATCTTTGGGGAAAATATAGTCCCCTGTGTATGTGGGTGCCCACCAGGTTAAATTCCTGGTAAAGAGATCATAAACTGGTACTGGTAATGTGTTAAATTGACAAGCTAATTTAACATCCTTTGATGATGTATGATATAGTGTAAAATAGCATGAGCATGAAAAATGTGAAACATTACCAGTTAACCATTCATTGCATTTAGTGGATTGGGGTTTCAGAAGTAACCATTCATTATCTGTGAGGTCAAGCATCCCTTTAATCTTCTCTAGTTTAGGAATCATTAGTGTGTCTTCTAATGCCAGTCTTTGTTGTTGCATCCATAAATACCTGATGGCACAAGTACTCCAGTTACCAAGATCTGTAGTGAATTTCATAGTTGCAACAGTTAAATTACCTAAATAGTTATACATTGATGTATCTAAATCCAATCCTGTAACCTGTGATTTAACAACAATTGGAGCCCAGTTTGCAGTAGTATGGAAACCAGTCCCTATATGCATGCTGGCCGTGTTTAACTTATTCTTGAGGGTCTCCACGTCTATACTATTTAGTATACCCATAGTGGTTCCAGCACCTCCTAACAGTGTGTCATACCATTCCCTTTTCTGCCTTTTGTTTGCTGTGTTACATATTGTTACAACAGGAGTAGTGATTTTTTAATGACACATGTACAGCTTGTAAGAAGGCAGTTGTATTAACACATGTGGACGGAATAGGTGTGTGTGTGTCGTGGTTGACTTTTGGTTCTATGATAGTGGATGAAGGACAGTAATAAGGTGTAAAAATATAAGATAGTGTACAGTTCTCAATCACAGTGTCATTCATAATGACTAACATTTGTCCCCTTTTCCAATTAATGGTACCAGTTGTATAATCATTATTAAAAATAATAAGGCCTGTCTGTTTACATTGATATGCAACCTTACTAATTTTCTTATAATATATATCCCAAACCTGTTTAGGTGTTTGTTTTTTTTACCATCAGAACTTATATTAAATAAGGTGGCACAGATGCTGGTGTAATTAGCAACCTTAACTGTGCACATTTCTGCGTTATAAGATCTAACAATTTTCCGTGAACCTTCAAACAAACATAATGCATCGGTTTCATTAGCTGTGGACACATTCCATATGGGTAACTGGTACTTGTAAGGGTTATTATTTATCCAGTTCATCCATATGTGTTCAGTCAATGAGTGCTTGCATATTACATGCTGATAGATAGGTGGTGGAGAAAGGTTCTTGAGGGAGCATGTGTGACGAGTGCTAGATGAGGGGCTAAGGCCTAATTGGGCTGGGGGTATTGAAGAATTGTTCATCATGTCAGAGTCATTTCTCCAGAAACAAACAGGTTTCAAACTTCCCATTGACTTGTACTCATAATGGCATTCAAGGAATAATATCAGAGGGAGTATAACAACTCCAGAAAGCATAGCGCACAACATAATCTTGGTCTCAGGTTCGTATGATCCTCTCAATCTACGATATGGTGTGAAAGCCATGATGCTTTGCTAAGGGGAAATTCTTCTCTTTCCGAGTGAGGAGTGGTGTTGTCTTCCTTGGTTCCCCTCTTTGGACACAGCTTCACTCGGGATGCGTGAATCCAGATGTCGTGGGAATCTGTGAGGACAGCGGTTCTGGTTACAGCAATCACAGTAGCAGGTGGTCCGAAAGGGTATCCTCCTTTCTTGGTCCTATTCAGCTGACGGATATACACCTTGTCACCAGGCTGGTATGGATGAGTAGGTTCCTGTGAAGGTAAGGGAAACTGCAAAGAAACATTGCCATATATACCATTCAGTTTTATCAACAATTCCTGTACATATTGTTCTTGTATTAGCTGTAAATCCCCAGACATTATAACAAGCGGTTCCCTGGCCCAGGGTGTGGGAAAAGGTTGTCCCATCAGAATCTCAAATGGAGATAATTTAGTCACCTTGTGAGGAGTCATTCTTATCTCAGCTAAAATAGCTGGAAGATATTTTGTCCAATTTACCCATGTTCCTGCAGTAGCTTTCATAAGCTTCTCCTTAATGGTCCTATTCATCCTTTCAACTACCCCTGAACTCTGTGGATGATAGGGTATATGAAACTTCCAGGTAACTTGCAAGAATTTAGCAAGTTCCTGGGTAACCTTACTAGCAAAAGCCGGGCCATTATCAGAGTTAATCTGCAGAGGGCAGCCATACCTGGGAATAATTTCAGTAGCAAGAATCTTCACTACCGTCCTAGCATCCTCCCTAGATGTCACAAAGGCCTCAGGCCATCTACTAAACTGATCAACTATGACCAGTAAGTATTGCTGTTTCTTACCAATTTTGGGTACATGAGTAAAATCAATCTGTAAGTGTGTAAAAGGAGCAGCTGGAGGGGGCAAATGTTCGTGCTGTGATTTGTGTGGAATATTCGGATGTGTTCTCATACATGGTTCACACAATCTAACGAAAGACTGTACATGCTGCCTGAGATTCCTAATATAAAATGAATTCATGAGGAATTGGATGGTACTTGCTATGCTCTTGTGGCCAGGACCATGGGCCTGACTGATAAAGATAAAACAGCTGGCTTCAGGTATGCCTATCTTCCCCTCTCTAGAGAAAAGATCATTCTGATCTTTTTCTAAACCTTGTTTAATCCAAAAATCAAAGTCAGCTCTTGTGCACAGACCGTGGCCATGGTTTTACAGTTGTCCCGAGCATACAAATGAAATGGTTTACAATACACAGGTAGTCCTAAAGCCGGGGCTTGTACAATAGCAACTTTGAGAGCAATATACGCAGCTAGCATGTCTGGTGATCAGCAGACATTTTCAGGGCTGTCAGAACGTACAGCCTCCCTTAGGATTGAGTCATAATGGGAGCATTCAGGGATCCATTGGCGGCAGTAATTAATCATGCCGAGGAAGGTGAGCAACTCCTTCCGAGTAGTGGGTTTAGGAATCCTCTGAATGACCTCAATACGTTTTGGACTCAATTGTCTGGTGCCTGAAGCCAGAACAAAACCTAAGTAATCAACCTTTGATTTACACAATTGCATTTTGTGTTTTTCAACCTTGTGACCCACAGTTGCTAAGTGTTTGAGCAAATTGACAGTATCCACAGTGCTTGCCTCATAGCTAGGGCTACATAACAATAAGTCATCAACATATTGCAAAAGGACGGAACCATGACCGGGGGTCCATGTTTTTAGAGTATGTTGGAGTACCAGCGAATAAACGGCTGGGGAATCCACATAGCCTTGGGGTAAGCGTGTCCAGGTATACTGACAGCCTTCAAAAGTAAAAGCCATAAGTAGCTGTGTCTCTTGATCAATAGGTATAGAAAAAAATGCATTACTTAAATCAATGACAGTGAAGCAAGTGGCATCATGTGGAATGGCTGTAATGAGGGATGTCACATCAGGGACAATGGGTGCAATGGGCACAATTAAACTATTCAGGGCTCTAAAATCCTGAACTAAGCGATAACCATTACCTTTAGGAACTGGATTAATAGGTGTGTTATATGGAGAAACTACTGGCTTTAGTATTCCCTGCTCTAGAAAAGATTGGATCATGGGGCGAACTCCCTCAACCTTGGCTTCTGACAGGGGGTACTGTTTAAGGTAGATAGGAGTTACAGCTGGTTTTAGTTTGGCTTTGTAAGGGGTGCAGTTGACAAATCCTACATCTAACTTAGATGAAGCCCACACAGAAGAAGGAACATCAGACAAATCAATAGTTTCAGAACACAACATAGACACATCAATACCACCAGAGGGCGTGCAAGTAATAGTAGCTCCCAGAATACCAAGAAGATCCCTTCCCAGCAAATTGACAGGACATTTAGGTATTAAACGAAAAGGGTGCATGGTAGAAGAACCATTAAGAGGACAAAAAACAGACAGTGGTGGTGTGACAAAAGTGGGGGTTGACACTCCATTAATACCCAATGAAGGTGTAGACTTTTCCCTTGTCCCCTGATAATAGGTATCACAGAGACTGGAACACGTAGCTCCAGTATCTACCAAAAATGGCAAGGATCTACCTTCTATGACCAGAATACAAAAAGGCTGATCATCATTAGTAGAGGACAAAAGTGGAAAAGTTGGAGTGTCACCTTCAAGGCAGCCCTATTGGGGCCATGGGATGTGATGGGTGTGCTGGTCAGTGGTACCTGTGAATGGCCCTAATGCAGTTTGGGTTTGCTGGAGCGGGGGGGAGGGGGGAGAGGGAAGTGCTGGCCAGTGGTGTTGGGAGTGGGCCTGGTGTTGTTCTTGCCTACCGGGCGTATTTTGATAATTGTGGGGTTGTTGGGGCTGCTGGGGTTTCCTGGGGTGTGGACACTCATTCCTCCAGTGGCCATTCTGCCCACAGTTGAAACAAGTGTTCCTGTCTATTCCTCCTTGGTTACCCCTGCCCCTATAACCCTGATTTCCCTGTCTCCATCCCCTTGCCCCTCTTTGACCACCCCTTCCACAGGCTCTATGTGCTCCATCCCATCCTCTCTCTCGGGCCTGTGTAGGTGGACAGTGTTGCAATCCCTGAGCATAATACGCAACCTTACTTCCTGAATCTTTTCTTAAATCAAAACAACCTGCATTTTCCTTCTCAATAACCTTGGTAAGAAAATCTGAGCCACCCAAATTGGCCCAGTCTGAAATCAACTGTTTCACAAGCAAAGAATACTGTGGCAACATATTACCAAGGCATGACTGTATTTTAAGGAGATCCATATCATCTCCAGACTTCAGACCTGCCTCATCCTTCCAACACTTGTAAAATCTCTTTACAAAAACACCAATCTCTTCCTTTGCACCTTGCTTACATGCCAAAGCAGTGGATATAGACTGCTTATTCTTCCATAATCTCAACATTTCAGCTTCCACCTCATCCCACATTTTAGCACATCCTGCTGAAGTACTAAGCTCATAAACACCATCACTGCCAGCCACTCCAACTCCAGTACCGTTGTCTGTCTCACTGATAGAGGGTACATTAGACCAATTCCAACCAGAATCTGAATCATACCCTAATATTCCATTTATAATTAACTGTATGTCTATCTGTGTCATGTTCTGTCCTAAACACATTCTTTTCAGATACATTAGGCATGCAGAGGGATTAGTACGGGGGTTTGGGGCACCTTGAATAATATCCTTGAGTACTCCGGGATTAATGGGTTTCATTATTAACTGATTACCAACAGTCATAAACGGGAACGGGGCAGTAAGATCAGCACCTTCTAATTCTGGCATCTCTACATCATCATCATCTTATGTACATATGATTTTAACACCTTGCCACTTTTAAGTTTAACTCCTGTTTGTACTGTTAATTTAACTGTACCAGGAGGTGGCGGTGGGTATTCTATATCAGAATCTGGTGTAGATGATGATTCCTGTAATTGCTGTGATTGTGAATTAACAGCTGCAGCAACAGAAATATCCTCTATATCATCCTCTGAGGGAGGTGGGGGTTGTGGTTGGGCATGGCCGGGGGCTAACTGGGTAGGGGTCACAGTTGGTGGTGGATATAGATTATCAGGAGGGGCTTCTATAGAAAAGCAAATAGTATTACTGTCAACAGTTCCCTTTCTCTTAGCCAGGTGTTTCTTAGCTCCCTTTAAAACCTTTCCTGTTACACTACAAGGAAACCAATGAGGGGCTATCAGCAACCAATTTTCACCTCCTGCTTTCATATATTCCTTATCCCAATCTGGATCAGGACCATACCACGGCCATGACTTCCTATCTCCCAAACACAATCCTCGAATCATATTCATATGAAAATCATCATTAGCCCCAGACCTGGGAAAAGGATCAGATGACTTCATAGTCTCTGTCCATCCTGCTAAATTTGACACAAAGGGGATTGTAAGAAATCCTCCTTGTGCTCCTATTCTAGTAACATAATTTAGACATGACTCCCCTGGGTGGGGTAAAGGGTAAGAAATAGACTGATTATTTCCCATATTTCTGGCTCAGGGTAGAGACACTACCTACTTACCAATAGTGTGTCTCTACTTAACAAGCAAAATAAACACAAAGCAGACACAGGATGACCAAAGGAACGAGAAGTTTGGGTTATTCTAGATCTATGAACCGTGTTCCCTAGAACACTTATAGTATTAATAAACCGGAGACTCCTTTATAGTCTCAAAACCTGTATCTACCTGAGATACCCTGTATCTATCTTAGATACTAACCTGGGTTACAAAAACCCTATATATATTTAGACCAAATGTCTAATAAACCGGAGACCTATTTACAGTCTCAATATAACTAAGTCCTTATACCTTTCCTTTCTACTGGATACAGACTTACTAAACCAAAGGGGGTCATAGACAATTAGCGTCAATAAGACACAAAAAGGCTACTCACCCAATGGTTTTGCTGATCCCACTTCTAGACACCAAGCTGAAAGGATAAATGCTGTTCTGGACTCAACTCCCCTCGATTCTCGCTCCTTCGATCACCACATCAATTGATGGGAGATCTTGTTTAGCAAATAAGACACACAGACACGAAAGAGTGCATAACAAGTTCTCAATGAGTATATTTTCAGGGCTAGCATTTATACACAATTTCTCATGCAAGCAGTGAGATCTATAGTGTCCTTGTGGTTAATAGTACATACTTGTCGGACATGAAAAAGATAAGCATTTGGATGAAGACGAGACAGGAACATCCTAAGGTCAAGGAAGGTCATACATCCTGTAGAGGAAAGACCTTGGTACAAAATACATCTGCCAAAGTCAGCATAATTATTTCAAACATTATTTTAAAGCATATAAAGCAAAAAGAGTTAACCATTTTACTTCCTTACATCTGCCTGTGTGTATGTATGTGTGTGTCTGTATGTATGTGTATGTATGTGTCTGTCGGAGGTGTGTGTTTGTCTGTGTGTATGTGTTTGTGTCTATGTATGTGTCGGGGGGCCACGGATCGGGGGAGAGAGGGGTTCAAAGGGGAGAGAGACGAGGGGGGGGGCCCATGGAGCAGTTTTGCACTGGGGCCCCATGGATTGTGTGTACGCCACTGTTTGAAGGCATTTTGTTAAATTCATTTTTGTTAGTCAATGTACATATATCAATTTACATGTTAACACCCTCCAATTTGTCTTTTCTATACTAACAGTGGAAGCCCCTCAATACCAGGAAGTAGCAAAAAAGTAATCAGGAACTGCAGGAGATGCTGTCTCCATCAAGAGTAAGGCAGCAGGTTCACCTCCCGTCTCCCTAGAGTTGCGCCTGGCTTTACTTTCCTTTCGTAAGTATTTGCATAGCATTGGTAGATATATGTTTCATATAAATATATATATTATGTATGTATGTATGTGTGTATACATGTAAACATACACACACACATATATATGTGACTGTACTGTATATGAGGTTAATTTATCACATACATGTATTTCAGACCATCTGCAAATTGTTGAGCGTTCTTCACCACGTCCACCTGAGGTTTCCCTCCAACAGCCGGCCACTGGTGTCCAGGAACAGGGATCCACAGAAGAAACAGGAGATTCTCTACCTGGGGACGCTCGGCCATGATACATGTAGTGAAGGTTAGAAGGAAAGGGGGGTGATCACAAAGAGATGCACAGAGGGCTGAAGAGGCACAAAGAGACACAGAAAGGGTTTGGGGTGGAACAAAGACGCATAAATAATGTCACGGGCCGCCTGGCACCCCAACCGGGTACCTCCACCAATCGCTGCTTCCTAGTAATCCTTGAGTACCATAAGCGGCGCACCAGACACCATAACCACCGTAAACCCCACAAACCACCGCAGCTTGGCTGGGGTCTTGCTGTCCTCCACCC